CTTTCTCCCTGGCCCTCCAGACTCATCATCTTTTAGGACTCACTCTTTCAAAGTCATCCTGGATCCCCACAGCTGGCTTTAATCTGGTTAATCTCTGCTTCTCGGAGCATTTAAATATGTTATCTGATCTGTAATTGTTTACATACTTGTCTCATTTCCTTAATGACTGGAAGCTGTTTGAGGACAGGGTCCATGAGTAACTCATTTCTATTATTTTCAAAATCACAACTAATAGACACTTGTAAATCTTTGTTGAATGAACTGGAACATAATTCTCCCACTGTATTAGAGACCTGAGTCTACACTGGGTTCAGAATCTTTGAGATAAGCAAAATAATTGGAATGGATTCAGAATAGACTAAGAAAGTGGAAGAATCAGCTGGGTGTGGTGGCGCACGCCTATAATCCCAGTGGCTAGTGAGACTGAGACAGGAGGATTGCAAGTTCAAAGCCAGCCTCCACAACTTAGGCCTTAGTGAAGCAACTAAGGGAGACCCTGTCTCAAAATAAAATATAAAAAAGGACTGGAGATGTGACCCAAAGTTTGAGCGACCCTGTGTTCAATCCTGGGTACCCCACCCCCCCGAAATAAAAAGCAAAAAGAAAGAAAGTGGAAGAAACAATCTACATTTGGAAACAACAACAAAAATGGTGGAAGATATTCAGCCTAGAGAAGTGACCTTTGGGAAGGGATATCACAGGGATTTTCCAGTACATTAAAGTAATGTTAAAAAAGGCCTGAATTTGTTTAGAGTAAAACAAAATATGGTTTAGATTTTAATGGGGCAATCTGAGCGGGGCTTGCTGAAGAACTTGAAGCATATAGGTATTAGGGTGGTGTGAAGACGGGCAGGGCAAAGCCATGCCTCCTTCCACCCTGTGTGTACAAAAGTACATGATGACAATACAGCCTGCGGCACATTGTTTTCAGAAACTTACTTGTGAAACAACTGCAAGCTTTTAAGTTTTAATTTTTTTTTTTTCCTAAGATGCTAAAATCTGTTTTTAAAGGAGAAGGGGGATTTAGTCCAGGAAGAGGAACAGTAGACACTGAAGCCTGGGATTTGGAGAGAAAATGGGACCAACCCAGAGAGAGAGAGAGAGACAGAGAGAGAGACAGAGAGAGAGAGACAGAGAGAGAGAGAGAGAGACAGCCTTTGATGTCTTGACAATCAAGGACGGTGGCTTAAGGACCAGACTCTTAAATCACGTGGCATTTGCTGCCCCAGATTTAAAAAAAAAAAAAAAAATACTTTTCTGGATCAGTGTGTGTAATTCAAAATGGCTAGGTTCCAAAATCAGTCTTAACTTTCCAAGGGCAACATTTGGAAGGCTTCCTGTAAAGACCAGAGTGGAGCCAGTTTCTAGAAGGGGCAGCTTAATGATTTTCTACTCCCCCCGCCCCCACCCCCAGATCATTAAGCAGTGTTCCTTTCCCAGAGCCCAAGTTCATGCTGGGGGCAAAGGGAATTAAGTGAAGAGGCTGAACCTGCAGCTAAGATTAGAGAGTTGCCAACAGCCTAATTTTAGGTCCTTGCTGCCCCAGCTGACGGGCTGCACTGCTGGCTCAGCCAGGGGGACCACAAGTGTGGCCATAAGCTGGTGCCTGAGCGGGGAGAGCAGCTCCCTGGCCATCTGCAAAAGCAATTAGTTTGATGTTGGGTGTGTTTTGAGAGGGACTACCAATAATTTCTCCTTCAACAAATGTTTCTTCAGGTGTTCAAGAGTCAATGAGGGAAAATGTCAGAGCTTGGCTGAGGTTCCCACATGCTTTCCATTCCCGTATTCACGCTTTTCCACTTAAGAGCCATCTCCAAAAGGGAACGAATCCTGGAATTCCTGGTTTTTCATGGCAAATAACCCCCTGATAAATTTCCTCTGGCTCTGAGCGGACTGCTACAATCTAGAGAAAGTGTTACTTGGGACTTGGTTTGATGAAAATCAAGCTGGCTGGATGTGAGAGCCGTTCTTTTGGGGGGAAAGGCTAAACCACGCTTCTGCTGAGATTTAGGCTATTCCTTTGCCCTCCACATATTTCCCAGGCACAGGTTTCATGCTTTAATTGTCTTCTTCAGAGGGCAGACAATAATAGCTGGCATCTTCCAGATCAAAGGGGAAACAGAATATATTTTAAAGTGACAACTCTGTTATCCTGCAACCAGAATAATAAATTGATATAAATATAAGCTCTTAAATGATTCCATACTCAAATGCTACCCAAGAGTAAAATTTCTTGCATAATTATGGTCAGAAAACTCTCCTTACAAATCACCAACAAGGGCGTACCTCATTTTTGCTAGATTCTCATGCCTGGGGCAGCAGCCCACCTTGGTGATGGAGATTTTATGTCCCCGCAGGTTGGGAACTGTGATTACCCACTGGTGCTGTCTGTCTGCAAAGGAGACTCTTAACAAAGGCTCTTTGCCAGGGGCAATGAAAAAGCAGACTGGCACTGCCAGGCCCAGGGAATGCAGCCCTTCGTGGATAATGCGCCCTTGGCAAGGGCCACTGTATCGAAGGTGCACAAACTGGCTTCAGGGGCTTCTCTCTCTTCTTCTACCTCTTTTACCAATTTTCCCGGTAGCGTTGCCTTTCCTCTCTACTTGTCCCCTGTCCTAATGTCAATCTGTCTCTCTATGTATTTCTACCCCCTCCCCATAGCATACATGCACACGCACGGGCACATGCACACACACACACATATGCACGTGCACGCACACACACTCGCCCCCCCTCCCCTGTCTCTTGGCGCTGGCCCTTTCATCTTCTCCCTCAGGGATTCGAGATGTCGCTGCAGGAAGTGCTTGTCCGCCGAGGCAGCAGCAGCAGAGCCCTGTGGCTTTGACAAACCTCATTTAATTGGGAGGAAGCCAGGAGAATTTGAAAGAACTGAAACATCCACGAAACTCCTTTTATCAGGCATAATTTAAACTCTGCATGGAAAAACCCCTATATGTATAAAGAAAAGTCAACTTCCCTCCTGCTGCGAGCACCCCTCATCTCCCCCCAGCACAGGCAGGCTCCTGCAAGATTCCATCTTTTCATTTTTCTAAAAGTGTCAAAGTAGATTTGGGCTCTGTGGCTGGGTGAACAGAGAAGGAATACAGATTGTTCCGTCTCTCTCACCCTTGCGCGCGCACGCGCACACACACACACACACACACACACCTCTAGACATACATGCATGCACCAGGGCCCCTCTGTTGGTGGCTTTGCCAGGAAGAATCAAAACTCAAGTTTCCAACAACACATCAATTGGACAGTGATTGTTTCTTCCTAATTACCCTTCATCAAGCAAAAGCTGGTGCCCAGAAAACTTTGAAGATCCCCCAGCAGTTCTTAGAATAATAGACCCTGGAGAGGGCTGATGGGGGAGGTTTCTTTTAAGTGGGGAGAAGGGTGTGTGTACACCCAAGCATGGACACTTGCACGATGTGATGGAGTTAGAAATCCCAAACCCCAAAGAAGAAAGCTAAGGAGGAAAGAGCTAGGGGCTGAGGTTGGGAAGAGGGGATTGGGATGGGAGAGGACAAGGTGGGGCTGAAGTGGGGCAGAGGTGCCAGGAAGGAAGTGAGAATTGTAGGTCTGCCCGTCACATCTTTCATTCCACCCACATGCCAAACCCTGTCCCTCCCCTCCTTTCGAATTCCACTTCAGATTCACCTCCAGCCTAATCCATCTCACTTGAATTATTCTAGTTTCTCCAAAGAACTGCCGTTAGCACACGCAGTCCTGAACATCTGCAGTTGATTACGCACAGATTTTAGCTGTTTAGATATGATTTGTGCTAATATGTGTACGAGGGTGCCCTGTTTCCTCTTCCTCACCCTCTTTTCCTCCCACTCCTTGAGGCCAAGGACAAGTCTCTTGTTTTCTTCAACTTTTTATAGCACTTCATATGTTTTTGACACTTATGTCAACTTAATAAATTCGAATGACTGATTCTTCCTACAAGGGTAAGTAAGACATTAACCCCAGTTGTATGATTACAGTTATTTTTGGAGATCTTAAATGACTCATTTTAATAATAAAATTCCTCAACAAGTCCCAAACTAAGAGTTTTGAACTACTGCAGGACAATGACACAGATACAGTGGAACTGCATTTATTTGCAAACCCTGGCCACTTGAACCAGACTGTGTCTACACCTCTTGGGCAGTAACTCCTCACCCCACTGCACCCCAATGAACCTCATTCCCCCTGCCCCCTCCTCCCATTTCAGTCCCCTCTTCACAGTCTGAGCCCCTAGACCCTCCTGCTTAGCTTCCTTTTCTCTGCCTCAGGACTCCTAAAAACTGTTTTCAGTTGAATAGTGGATATTTTCAAAGAAACCCCACCTAAGGACATTCCCCTCAAACAGCCCAGACCTTGACCACAATGCCCACATCCTCCTCATAGCCCTTTCTGGCCACATTCTGAGAAACAAGAGGACAGCTCCAACCACATGACCCCTCAGCAGATTTCAGATTTGGAGGATGACTTCAGGCCCAGGCAGCAAAGGCTGATTTCAGGGTAACTTGCCTCTCCAGCGGGCAGCTGGCCTGGGAGGGTGCTTCCCTCCCCACAGCGCCCCACCTCCACACTTCCTTCTGCAGCATCATGTTACCAATCAAGAAAGGCCCAGCTCTGCTCTCTGACATATCCATGTCACCTATCATCTTACTCTCTATGGAAAGAGAGAAGGGGCTTGTTAGAAATTTTGGTTTTGCTTCTCCTGGCAGATGCTAGCTAAAGCAAACAACTCAGAGGGAACTTTCATCTCGTCCAATTTCTAAGTGTAAGTTGTGTGTGTTTGAAATGTTGGATCCTTGTCACCTCTCTACCAGTGCTTCAGGGTTTTAGAGAATCTCATGCAAAACTCAGGCAAGATTCGGTCCCATCTTGCATTCCTGCAGGCAAAATCATTATTACCTTCATTTTATGATTTTATGATTCTCCAGGTTGAACACTGAAGACATGGAAACTTAACACCAATGCGCATGCACACACTCCTCACTCACCATCAGGAAGCTGGTACAGCTGGGAGGGCAGAGCACTGAAATAATCATGGCCCAGTGCTTCCTGGGCGGAGACCCGGTCTCTAGGAAAGCCCTTCAACATTTGGGAGGCCAAGTCTTCAGCTTCAGGAACCCTGCCCAGCCTGGAAAAGTGGGAGAGAGAAATAGAGTTTCTCCAAGGCCTTCATCCTGGAAAATAAAGGTTGGGGGAGGAGGGGGGAGGGTGTGTGTGTGAAAAGTATAGAAAAGGAAATGTCTAAAAGTATAGAAAAGGCTAGATGTAGAATAATGTTTCAAATAGAACTTTCCTGGGTTTACCACAATTGTTGGAGTAATAACCTTCATCCTGAAATTCTTATATATCCTATTACTAAGATTAAGGGGGAAAAAAAAAATCTCAAAGTTCTGTCCTTCAGCTTGCCTGCCCTCCACCATGTCTCTGAGCACCATGTACACATAAAGGACACAGTTTTGTAATTATAGAAACAGAAATATATAATTAAGGATTCTTCTTGGATAGACACAGCAGCCTCAACCAAGCGGAAAAGCCCAATTGACAATGCTTTCTAGGTCTGGACGCCAAAAGCATCAAGCAAGGAACCCTGGAGGGAGAGAGGTGATTCCTGAAGGTGAAGCTCGAGTGGAAAATTCAATTATTTATAGTGTTTCTGAAGCTCAGCCCCAGGGTTTTTAGCTGGGAAGTCCTCTTCTTTCTTTCTGAGATAGAGCAGAACAAGAGAGATAATTAAGCACCCAAATCACACAAAGGATGAGTTTTCAACTTGATTTTATGTTGAACTGTATATTTGGAGATGAATAAAATAAATTTATCAAACAATTATTATGTGCTAATGAGTGGTTGGTTCTGGGGGGTATGAGGCAAGACTGTCTTCTGGCATCTTGGTCTAGTAAGCCAGAAGTTCACCAAATTATCAAAAAATGCATAGGGACCACTTTGAAGAAAAGGCTCCTGCTCTAGTCTGAATGCTTCTGTTCTTCCTGAAATTCTTAGGTTGAAATCTAATCACCAAGATGATGGTACTAGAAGATGGGGCCCTTGGGAGGTAATTAGATTATGAAGATAGAGCCTCATAATGGAATTAGTGCCTTTATAAAGGAGACTGCCCCTTCCACTATATGAGGACACACCAAACAGACACCGTCTTTGAGCACAGAGTTCTTACCAGTCACCAAATCTACTGTGGCCTTGATCTTAGTCTTCCCAGCTTCCTGAACTGTGAGCAATAAATTTCTGTTGATTATACATTATATAATCGCAGGTATTTTATTATAGCAACCCAAATCAAGACAGCCCTGATACCTGACCCAGAATGGGAGAAGGCAGTCAGGGAAAACTTTCTTTTTAAAATTTTTTTTAGTTGTAGTTGGACACAATACCTTTATCTTATTTATTTTTATTTTTTTATGTCATGCTGGGGATCAAACCCAGAACCTTGCACATGCAAGGCAAGCACTCTACTGCTGAGCCACAACCCCAGCCCCAGGGAAGACTTTCTTGAGGAAGTGACATTTGAGCTGAGAGCTGAAGAACTGGGGATAGGCAAGGGGAAGGCATTGCTGCAGAAATCTCTGGTGTTCCTACAGGGCCTGGAGTGGAAGGGAGAAGAGTGAGTTAAAGAAGGGAATCAAGGCTTAGTGACTGGCCTGGGAAAAAGGGAGGGAGAGGCACCTGAAATGAACCTGGGGAGAGTGGTAGGGTAGGGGACGTCCTTCCTGTTGCCTATTTACTTACAATGCTTTAAAGTTTTTGCTAGTCTAGTGCCTATCATTTAAGTACATCCATCTCTACAAGCCACAAATAGGTTTACAAGTAAAAAGCCACAAGAGGGAAAACTATGCAGATCCTGGAAGACAATTAACCATAGAACTGATGTTTGACATTCAAAATTAAATTGCATGGTCATGAAACAATCAAGCAAAAAACAGAGCAGCTTACTTACCATCAAATTCACATACCAACTTAGAGCAAAAGCAAGAAAGCAGAGACTTCTTCCCTCTGCATTCCATGGTGCTGGGATGCTGGAGGTCTTGGTGCACATTTGTAATTTGCCTAATTTTTGCACTAGGCTTGCATAAGAAGTTTTCAGATCCCTGATTTCCATGACATAAGACTGTTTCTGCAAACAGATTACTATCCTCCAACTCAGGAATAAATTCTTCATAGACAAGATGAAGAAGAAATTTGGAAATCCCCAGTCCTTGCAGATTTCCAGATCAGTTAGGACTAAAAGGAGCCTGAAGGAGGAGGACTGAGGAGATCTGGCAGGTGTAACTCTCCATTCAGAGTGCCGAGCCCAGTCTTTGTGATTATGTCAAACACTGTCTATGAACCCATCATTCAACATATGTTAAATCCAGTTGTTCTCAGAAGAATGAGACAGTGGTTTTAATTTCTTAGCAAAACCTGGCTCTAAGTATGAAAATCTGCCATTGATCCTTGCAGCACAGGATGAGCCTGGTTACCTTGAGCTTACTGGGTTTTTTTGCTTTCCCCCCCAGCAACCATAGAAAGGAAAAGGACAGGAATGGAGTAGGTAATTTTCTTACTGCTTTCAGTTTAGGACATGGTAAAGTAGATGCCCACAGGAAGCAATCACCGGCATTAGGAAGAAACAACAGCAGAGAAGCTGTCTTACAATTTGCTAATCAGTCTAAAGAGTGTGTCTTACTAGGTCCACATTTAAAGAGGTCACCATCAAACCCCTATCGAGAACCTGTGCCTATTTACAGGCCAGAGCATAGTTCCACCACACCTCTGTAGGAATCATGTAGAAAAGTCATGAAAAGTCAGCTGCTCTTGATTTAACCACACTAACAATTGAATTGTGGATTCAGTTGGCAATCCATAGAGACCTGAACACAAGATGAATCCTGACTCCACCAGTTACCTAACTGGATGACCTTGGCCAGATTAGTTAGCATCTCTGATCCTCAGTTTCTTCCTCTTTGACATGAAAATGACATTTGTAAGGATTGAATGTAATAATATAAGCAGCACTCTGCTAAGCACATAGTATATAGCTCACTAATGCTACTGCTCTTTGCAGGGCTCTTTTGAGCACCAAGAATTTTCTCATGTGATAATCTAGGCCAGCACTGCCCAAAAGAACTTTCTATGAGGAGCCAGGTGCCATGGTGCACACCTGTAATCCCAGGAGGCTACGGCAGGAGGCTAAGATAAGAGGATCACAAGTTGGAGGCCAGCTTCAGCAACTTAGACCCTGTCTCAAAATAAAAACTTACACCCTGTAGGGATGTAACTCAGTGTAACTCCTGGGATCAATCTCCAGTACTGAAAAAAAAAAACTTTCATTGATGATGGAAGTATTCTATTTCTGCTCTGCCCAATATGGTAGCTACTGCACACATATGGTTCTTGAGTCCTTGGAATGCTGCTTGTGCAACTGAACAACTGAACTTTAAATTTAATTTGGAATATTTAAGTTTAAATAGCCATGTGCGACTAGTGGCTTCTGTATTAGCACAGCTCCAGACATTACTCCTTGTTTTGAGAATCTGAGCAGAAAAAAGCCTAAGCAGAGGCAAAGACACTGCCATGGGCAGGGGATGGGCAGAGGTGGTAAGAGTTGTGTAGTCAGAAAAGTCAGAATAGGGATTCAAGTCGTGCTTGGCCCAGAAGGAAGGGCTGGTGGGCAAACAGCAGGAGGCTGCAGCTCCAGACAGCATTAGGATGCCTCACAGGTGTGGAGGTACCATTTATTTTGAAAACCAGTAGTGGAATGAAAGCAAGCCATGGGCAGTGTGAAAATCCAAATGTTTCTGGCTAGTGGTTAGGGAACCTGACTACACTGGCAAGAGAAAATGTGAATGAAATGATAAACAGCAATTCTCTGGAAGCTTCCCTTGAGATAATGAGGAGTTTCAAGTCATCCTCCCAATACAAGGTCCTGTGGTAGTCCATAGCTCTGTTTCCAACCTATTTACCCTTTGTGCCCTGGTATTCGGTCTACGTGGTGACTTTTTAAAGCATGCAAAGAGTAGGAATGGAAGAGTCAAACGACATTTGGTGAGATTCAACTCTTCCATATTTTCATTCAAGAGCAATGTTCAAACTTTCGGTTAGGATCTTGGCTTGTGAAACTCTTCACTTCTCCCCACCTGTGTGAGTGTGTTTTTCTTTGACATTTGAGCTCGTTTCCCCTGTCTCTGATGTTTTCCTCACTGCCCTCTTTGCCTCCTCACTGAAGCAAAAAGAACAGAGGCTCGGCTAATTACTCTCAGATCAAATAATACTGGTTATTGTAATTGGTCATTGTCCGAAAACACTGAGTTCTTCTTAGCCCCGAGGTTGCCTGGCACAGCTTAGTTAGCTAACTATTCCCGGAATGTCTCTATTATCTGTTTTACTTTGCAAAAGAAACTAGGGATTTGTTGAAAGCTGGTAATAAAAGTCTGCCCTGGTCTGAGCCGAGACTGCGTTGAGAGGGCCTGGGAAAGGATGACCTCCATGAATCAAGTTCCCCCTCCAATGGCCACTCAATGATGTTATTTGGTTTCTCTGTGTCAGAGAATAATAAACCCACTAGGTTTTCTTGCAAGCCAACACTCCCTGTTCTCAGGGCCTGGGGCATGACTGAGGGGCACAAAACAATTTTAATGACCAAACTCACTGAAAGTAAAATGGTTCATAGAGAAAAACCAACACATTCACAGGGGGCTGGGTCTCTCAGAGCTTCTTTCTGGGACTCAGAGCTCCCAGGTCAAGGCATTGGAGGTTGTTCAGTGGACCGAGGTCCAGGGACATGTCTCTTCTTCCTGCCTAAAAAAACAGCTTCCCCAATGTGATGCTTACCTGTTCCAGACAATCTGAAGGCTCTGAGGCTTCGACAGCGGAAACCATTCTGGAAAGCACAGAGTGAAACATTAAAAAACAAAAACAACCCCCCCATATGTTGCCAAAAAATATTATTAAAATTCTAAATACTCTTCTTGGCCTGGATAAAAGAGGACTCAAGGATCAGCCGGGTGCAGTGGTGCACGCCTGTAATCCCAGCGGTTTGGGAGGCTGACGCAGGAGGATTGCAAGTTCAAAGCCAGCCTAAGCAATTTAGCAAGGCCCTAAGCAACTTAGTGAGACCCTGTCTCAAAATAAAAAATAAAAAGAGCTGGGGATGTGGCTCAGTGGTTACTTGCCCCTAGGTTCAATCCCCAGTACCAAAAAAAAAAAAAAAAAAAAATTAGATAAGCTAACTAATGACTTCTTAAGGCCTCTTCTTACTCTGAATTTTTATTTTGAAGTCTTAATTGGAAGCATCTCACTCAGAATATGACTTTTTTTTTTTTTTTTTTTTTTTTTGGTGCCAAGGATAGAACCTAAGAATGCTCTACATAGCACTGAACTAAACCCCAGCCCTTTTGTTTTTTAATTTTGAGACAAGGGTCTGGTTAAGTTTCCCAGGTTGTCCTTCAACTTGTGATCCTCCTGCCTCAGTCTCCTGAGTCACTGGGATTACTGGCACACACCATAACACCCAGCAGAATATGACCCTTTATGGAAATAGGGTTATTGCAGATATAATTAGGTAAGATGTAGTCATTAGGGTGGACCCTAATACAATTTTACTGGCTTCTTCATGAAAAGGGAAAATTTAGCTGGGGAGGGTGGTGCACACCTATAATCCCAGCCAACTGGGAGGCTGAAGCAGGAAGATTACAAGTTGGAAGCCAGCCTGGACACCTTAGCAAGACCCTATCTTGAAATAAAATTAATGAACAGAACTGGGGAGTGTAGTTCAGAGGTAGAGTATCCCTGGATTAAATCCTTATTACTCACCCCACCACACACATACATACAATAAATAATAAAGACCAAAATCATAAAATAAAAGAGACTGTGGAGATAGCTCAGTGGTAGAGCGACCCTGGGTTCAATAGCCGGTACTGCAAAACCAAAAACATCACACACACAAAAAAAATTGGGATGCAGAGGTAGACATTTACCAAATAATATGATGTGAAGAAATAAAAAGAGAAGACAGACATCTACAAACCAAAGAGATAGGCCTGGAACAGATTCTGTCTCGTAGTCCTCAGAGAGAACCAACCTGAGGACATCTCAGTTTCAAGGTTCCAACCTCTAGAACTGTGAGACWATAAATTTCTGTTGCTTAAGCTACTCCATTTATGAAACTTTGTTATGGCAGCCCTAGCAAACTAATAGAGTCAAAATATTCAGTAAAGTCAACAAACATTTATTTGGCATATATGGTGTGCAGAGCATGTATCAAGTGCTAGGAGAATATGAAGGAATCAAAAGAAACTTTGCCATAGACACATGAAAAGCCATGCAAGGAACAATAGGGCAAAGTTCCAAAGACTTAAAAGTGGTAAAAAAAAAAARGGGGGGAACTAAAAACAACCAATAATAATAATTGTAATTTTAATTGGAACATTCTAGAACATTTATATTTGGATACAGGATTTTCCCATAATTTTTGGTATTGATACTAACTCCAAATAAAACCACATTGAAAGGGGACATTTTTCATTCAAGAAATCCAACGTCACCTCTAGGTGAGGGCCATGAAAAGATCCATACAAGATGCTTGCTGATGCTGCTTATCAAATTTGCTGTATTTCTCATCCAAATTGAGAAAAGAGTATTTTGACTCTCATGTAAAGTGATATTTCTGCCTTACCCTTTTCTAAAGCATGAAATTTTGATTTAAAAAATTTTTCTTCTTCTTGGTTCTATACAAATGGAATATATCAATGCTGTTTACTACAACCAAGAATTTCATCAGAGTTTGGCAAAAGAAAAAATCATTTTGATAATACTGACATATTCAAGCTRGTATGTGCATAGAAACATGTAGAAGACTACTCACTAAATAGTGACTGTGGTTAGAGGGGCTTACCCTTTATACTTTTGTGCCCATTTTCTCAAAAAATATTAATAAAAAGCATATATGGTCGGCCTTTTATTTTTTTTAGTATCTATTTATTTATTTTTTGTGGTGCTGGGGATTGAGCCCAGGGCCTTGTGCATGCAATGCAAGCACTCTACCAACTGAGCTATATCCTCAGCCCAGTTTTTATTTTTTATTTCTTATTTTGGTAATAGGGATTGAACTCAGGGGTATTTTTATCAATGAACTACATCCCTAGTCCTTTTAACTTTTTATTTAGAGACAGTGTCTCACTAATTGTTGAGGGCCTCATTAGRTTACTAAGGCTGCCCTCAAACTTGCAATCTTCCTGCCTCAGTCTCCCACATCACTGGGGTTACAAGTGTGCAGCACCACACCTAGCTTACTGTTGGCCTTCTGTCTCTGCAGGTTTCTATCCAGGTTCCCCATCCAAGGATTCAACCATCCATGAATTGAAAATATTTAAAAAATTGCTGGGGCAATTGTACTGAACATGTACAAACATTTTTTCCTTGTCATTATCGCCTCATCAATATATCATAACAACTATTCACATTGTACTATGTACAATAAGTAATCTAGGCATGATGAAAAGCATATGGGACAATGTGCATAAATTATATGAAAAATACTAAGATACTTGAGCTCCTGCAGATTTGGGTATCTCATGAGGTTCTGGAACCAATCCCCTGTGGATACCGAAGGATGTCAGTATCCTGCTGTACTTTCAGAAGCAAGTTCAATTAAAAGCTGAATTTATAGTGCTAAGAGTTGTAGAGTAAAAGCAGTGATCAAAGAAAATGGTTTGAATTTTCAAGGTCAGATGCAATCAAATGTGAACCACTCTGCCGGTGGTTTATAGTCTCAGGTGGGCACTAAGGGAAGCATTAGTATATACAGGTTATTTACCCTCTGTTCAGTACAATTGTGCCTGAGTTCAAAATAACCAATAAAGATAAGAATATCTGGTATTCGTTTGGTATGTTTATTTCCAAACCACTTTCTGCTGTCTATTTACAGTTCTTCCCTGGCCAAACAACATTAAAATATTTCCTCATTCAGTCATATCCCAATTTCCAATTAGCATAATGAAATCCATGTCAGTCCTCTCCCATTTTCTGTCTTTCCCAGTGTAGAACTCTCTGCGCTGTGTTTTTTAGCCTTTAGTAATTTTATACTATTTCCAGCTTTAGTGTTGTTCATGTTGGGAGTTAGCTGAATCCATCTGGGTACTGACTGCTGCTTTAGTTTTGTCAAGACTTGAAGCAAATATTTGAACCCTGGTGACCCTCGGTTTCCTTAACCCAAGCTGCAGGTCACAGTCACCTTCAAGGACGTTAAAGCATTTCAATTGCACAATGACTGTAAAGTGCCTGCTCTGGAGCATTAAGCAAAATAAACCCTATCTGCCTTTTCTTCCTCTTTCTTTGAAAAGTGATGAGCAGTGTAAACTGTGTGGTGGTGGTGACGTACTTGGATCCTGGACCCGGGTTTTCATTCCTCGATAAACCACTTACTGATTGTTTGACTTGAAAGTGTGGCTTAACTTCACTAGGCCTCAGTTTTCCCATCTGTAGAAGGGGGATAATTACAGTTCCTTCTGCACAGGGTTGTGGAACTGGGTAATAAGTGCCTGTAAACTTTGCTCACTGTTTCTCCTGCTCCTTTCCCTTGTCTGGTGTACCTTGTTTCTCTCTCTCCTCTCAGGTATCTCTGCTTTATTGTTCTCCTAGGAAACCTTCCATAACTGTTTCCTGCTACTGAAATTCTAACTTGCTCCAAGCTCCAATTCTTATAGGCCTGGCTTGATTTCTTTTGAGGCCTCAGTGTGAGCCAGAGGTGTGTTTCTTAGCTGTGTAGTGCAGTAACCTGAACACAAACCCAGGCTCAGATCGCTTCCCTGCTGCTTAGGAGCACTGGGACTTGGGGAAAAACTGCCTAACCTCTCTGGTCAAGTAACCGAGAAAGCTTACAAATCCATGAAATGGGCATAATTTTCCAGTTGCTGGAAGGATTAGAAAAGAATAAGCATTTGATATACAGAGGGAATTAAAAAGGTGTTTGTCTCGTTCCTTCTCTCTTCTTCTTCTTGTTCTTACCATTGTCTTGGAGAGGTTGCATGGTCTAACATGGTGGCTCTCAAGGGGGCTGCATATGAGCCTCACCTGCAGAGCTTTTAAAAGAAAGGCAGCCCTGGCTCCACTCCCCCCAGAGAGTCTGATTTAACTAGTCTGGGAAGGTCCAGGCATTGGTTAGTTGTTGTGCTGTTATTATGTCTTTAATGGTCTCCAGATGTCTGTAGTGAGGCTAAGACAGAGGACTGCTGGTCTAGCTAAGAAAGCGGGTCCAGCACTCACCAGCGGCTCCACATGCTTCTCTGAGCCTCATTTCCTCAGCTGTGACAAGTGAGGTTGTTGTGAGAATTCCATTAATCCATGTATATAAAAACTGCAGTAGAGTCTGACTCATACCTTAATATGTTGTTGTTCCAGGATGTAAAAGAGGAAGTGTGACAAGGCAGAAATCAGCTCTCATAAATTCAACCAGGAAAGGATGACTGTGAGAGTTGCCCCCAGACCCTAGGAGTGACAACATTTTGAATTGGAGGTTCCATGTTCTGTGTAGAATGATAGGGCTGGCTCTTGCCACTCCTATTTTGTAGCTACATTCTCACAGCAACTGATGTAGCCAGGAGCTGCTAGGAAGCCAAGTCAAAGTCCCAGGCCTATTGTGGCCTACCCTCCCACTCTTAAGCAGGTAACCAGATGTTGAATAACATCGAAACACCTTGTCTCTCTTCCATTGATTTTTCCCAGTAGTTAAGCTGCAAGCGATCGATGAGGGAACCGTCCACAAACAGATAGGCATTGTACACATCACCATTTAGCCTTCAAAAATCACAGATCTGGAGTAGTTTGTTTCCCTTCTCCTTCCATAGACGATAGTAAATCATTAGACCAGATTTCCCTCCA